TAAGGAGAGTGGCCGGCCACCAGGCATGCAGTGGTCACGGGCGGCCTTTGATGCTTAGTGTTTCTAACGGCGCAGCCCGCGATGGAGTGTGATAGATAGTTGCGTCACGGGTTGATGAATTCCGGCACGAACGCAACCGTCGGGAGATTTTATCCAGCTTAGTCGCGGGGATGAAGAAAAGTCTTCACATCCGGCGTCTTACATCATCCTCTTGGCGTATGTGATAAACTGGCCGCGGGAGGACAGAATGAGCTGAACTCCCCTAGCTCAAATGAGGTCAGTCAACGAACGAGGCGAGTGACCACGGGAGCCGGTCGCAGAGTTGGCGGCGTCGGGGTCTAGAGGAGGTCAAATGACGGGTCGGAGCAGAGGCGGTGTTAGGGGTAGGAGATATGACTGTCGGGCCGATCGTCAAGGAAGCGCCGGCGGACCTAGCGGCCACCCGCGGCTCTCCAGCGCCTGAACTCTGCGAAACATGACGCGTTCGAGGCGGAAGTGACGTCACAACGAGCCGACCGGAAGCGCTCGGACGTGCGCGGCCAAGAAAGCCCGACCACAGCACCGCCGACCGGACGGTCACGTCCGCGACGGTCCAGCAACAGCCGCCGGGCATAGGCGGGCTGGGCTGCCCCTCCGCTCCGAGAAAAGGCAATCAATGCGACTACATTGAATACGACCGACGTCCGCCTCTTTTGAGCTGTTTGCAATCTACTGAAACGCACACTCTCTATCTTTCGGGACGTCGGAGGTGTTTACAATGTTTTCATGTTACACATGTTCACAGGAACTTCGTGCCCTCAGGCTTTTTACACTTTAGAGGTTCTTAATCACCACAGCCTGGCGCACTGTTCTCTTTTACAACGCTTGGTGACACGCGTCACCACGCGACCGCGTTTTGTCACCGTTCCCGGGTTTACACCGTGCGGTTCTCTTTCTCACGGCGGTGGGTGGCATGGCCAGACAGACCGCACCGGTGTAGTGACTCACACGCGTCACCTCGGTCTGCCCACCGCCGTGCCTCTGATTGATGTAGTCACGTCACTATCCAGCGTTGTCAGTGTGACAGCCCTCGTGTCAAGGATTAGCCGTAAGTGTTAGTCGCCATTGTCGTTTCTCATATCACTTGACATTGTTTGGTCAATGTGCAGCCCCACTGCAATGAATAACAGCGTGAGATCACAAAAAAGTCGGGATGTGGCCAAAATTGGGGTGAAGCCCGCTCAGTCTGAGCCGAAGATGGAAGCAAGTCTCCCTCAACAACAACTCTTCACACCCACCCTCCAGGACCGGGAGAGTATTTAGTCCCCTCCTAGCCTATTTCTATCAGCATCTCATATTCCAGCTGCAGGGCTCAGCACCGTCCGCATGCCACAGCCTTGCCAGCGGGGCCTTGCCGCTGCGAGTCCCCTGGGGGCCCGACGCCGGGTGCGCAGGTCCCGGGAGAGCAGCCTGGCCGGCAGGTCAACAGTCTCACCGCCGGGCGTGCCAGCGAAAACAGGCGCAGCGCCGTCTGTCACTCCGCCCGACCCCCTGACCCTGTGACCTCCTGACCTCGGGGGCGCGAAGACGCCCCAGGCGGTCGGTTGGGAACAGCATGCGGACGTATAGAACGGCGTTCATACCAGGGGAGCTCGGGACGCGCAGGCACATCTGAATGCTGGGGAGAGAAAGTGAAATAGCTTGGGCTTACCGACAGCAGCGGCGCAGTAGAGGGGGTGGAGAGGGGGGGGGGGGGCAGAGAGGGCAGTTGCCCCCTCCCTCTGCCTCGAGATAGAGTTGGCAAGAGTATGCTTTTGCTCCCTCAAAAATTTTGGAAGGCCCCTTCGTCACGAAATAAAGGGATTACAACTTCCTGCAGATAAACAAAATTCAGACCGGGGCGTCCCCCATAACTGACCTTGAGGTAACAATCAGGCTTAAAACCCAAGAATAAATGGCCACTATGAACGCTTTCGAATCAGCGTCAGTGAAACTGATACAACGCAGACGTGTTGGCTGAAGAACGAAGATCATAGTACCTCAGCACCAGAGAACATCTTCAAAATTAGCGAATCTCTTCCGTTTTTTGTCTGCAAGGACCCTAAAATGGCAACGTCTACAATCAAAATCGGATTTTGTCTACAACCACACGCAACCGCACCAGCTCCTACCCCTTCCTTCCCCCCCCCCCCCCCCCCGTCGCCCTCACACGTTACAACATCGTGCGCTACCTTTGAAAAAGGCCAACGTGCGCAACTTGTTTTTATCGTGCACTTTTCATTCCGTTGCCATGGACACGCAAGCGCGTTTCGCAACACCAGCCATGCCACCGAGCGCGCAGTTCTCTATCTGCGTTTTACACAAGCCCTAGGATGGTGACGCTCAGACCACGCAGCAGGGTGCGGATCTAGCCTTCTGAAAGCACACAAACGAAGCCTGAAATTAACATCACCAAGATTCACCAGAGAACGTGATCCACCTGAGGAGTGCTGGAGTTGGACGGCCGTATAAGATTACCTGGACCAATGTTCTTCGCTTATGGCCGGCGTTAGCAAACTAGATCTCAAGGAGTGTTTCGCTCCCGCGTGTCAACCGAAAGTTGCCAACAATAACAAATCCGAACTAGTGGCATCATTACTACTCATTGCTTACCTACACACTCCGTTGTGCGTGCTTCAGTTCTCTCTCGCTCTCCTCAGCTGTCGCGACATACAGCCAGCGACATACAGCCAGCGACATACAGCCAGTCATGCTCACAGTGGTTAGGACCCCAGCCTTAATATCACACGTAAAACTCGGTTGCCCCGCCCACGTGGCCTTCGCAGCCCTTACAAAAGAAAATGTATTTATATGAGCTCAGCATCACACGATGCCTACACAAAGATGACAAGTATCCGAGCGCTGGAGAATGCCAACGAAACGGCTGCTGGAGCAATGGACAATGAAGGAACTGAGCTTCATACAGGGAATTCAGTCTGCCATTAGCCCCGTGAAAGCACAGAGCATCGGGGCAGTGTAGCCCGACTGGGCGGCCTGAAGCGTGCAGAGACAACAGCTTCGGTCAGCTTCGACGGAACGCGGCTGCTGAGTCAGCGGCTTCAGACAACGGGAAAGGCTCGCCACGCGTCTCGCGCCATTGGTTTCCTTTTGGTGTAAAGAAGTGCAAAAGTGACAACAATGGTGATGATGATGGCGGTGGTAATGGTGATGATGATGATGGTGGTGATGGTGGTGGTGGTGGTAAGAGTGCTGGGGTTTCCGTTTTTTCATCATTGGGCTGTTTCACCACCTCTTGGCGTCAACGGGACCACATAGGTATGTTAACGTAAAAAGGGAGGTGTTTGCAAATGAAGACCAACAGGAGTCACGAACTGCAACAGGCCCCATCTCTTCGTTGGCTCAGCCTGTGGCTAGAAGTGCGTTGCAATCTTGGGTCAGCGACGTGCAAGGAACGCACTATACGGAAACGCAGGGTATTGAGAAAAAAACAGCGGGTGTGTTATGAATGCGTGGAATTTTTAGAGCTAACACGAACGAAACGCACCCCGTGGAGATCTCCAATGACCACTTCATTTCACAATTATATACAAACAGCTGAAATAAAAGACTTGTCGAGGCCGAATATCCTCAGGGGTCAGGAGCAGTCACCGCTCGCCATCCACTGTTTCCAGCCACCGATGAGAGCGGACCCGCTGGATTCAGGCGCGGGACGCATGCGGAGCTTCAAAAATGCGTCGCGTCGAAATTAAAAAATGCGCATGGCTTGCATGCCAGTTAAAATTACCTTCCTTCAAGGCCTCATCAGGGTTCTGGACCATTTTTGGGACTACATTAGGCGTTAGGGTTCGAAGTGCTGCGTGCGGGTGGCTCGTTCGCACCGAGCGTCGCATTGACTCAACAGCTTCAAGCGTGTCGCGGCTTGCAGCTACTTCTTGAGTGGCAACTTGAGTGAACATTCCTCAGTTATGTCTAGCGAGCCCTGGCGAGTGCGAAGTGTGCCATTGCTAACCCTCACAGAAGTGGCATCACTTGTGAAGCGCGTACCTGCACGGCTTGTATCCGTGCAACCGTAATGTCCTTCCACCCGGTCCCATGGTATGTGTCCGTGCACCTGCCGGGAATCTTACCACGGTATCCCGAGGGTTCGGTAACCACTGACCACTCAATTACCACTCGGTAACCGCGGGACTCCGCACCGCTGGTAATTAACCTGGACCTGCGGTCGTGGGGGCCCACAGGCTGAAATGTCACAGCTTCTCACAGCCGCACGACAGTGTTACAAACCAGTTCCTGGGGACGACCCAGACACCGGCGAGACGTCGCGGTGGTCGCAAACATTGCATATGAGCTCGAGGACTACGAAAACTGGTCCCAAATCCGTCTGGATATCCTTCGCTCGAATTTGAGAGCGCATGGATGTTTGGGCTACACGAGATGTTGCCCTCCAGCGGCCGAACTGACGCAACAGACTGCCGATGCAGGACGTTGGTCCGCACAGGGCCTGTGGGGGTCCTGGGCCGAGGTGTTTCCAGTAACTGTGTAATGCGCATGGCCAACTCACGGCCTGCCTTCCCCCCGCACGTACTGTGCGGGGGGAAGGCAGGCCTTCCTCCCCGACTTATCGCGCACGTCCCTCGATCCTGTTTTCTCACCGTCACGGAAGGGATGATGGCGGTTGAGGGGCAGGTGGGTGAGGGGTAGGCCACAGCATCCAGTCACGCACGTCAGTCCGCCGACGCCCGAACAAGCTGTCAGTGGTGACGCGCCGCCGAGCGTGACAGAGCCGTCCGCGCGGACAGGACGGAAGGGGCGGACAGCGCGCAGGTGCAGCGCGGACAGAGCGAACTGGGCGCATGGGACCGACGGAGGACAGAGGGAGGAGAACGGTGGACAAAGGGCGGACACGGTGGACAAACAGGTGATGGAGAGGACCGAAGGCAAGGGTCAGAGCGAGCAGGCACAGTGGACATAATGAACAGCGGTCAGAGAAAACGTGGGGTGGAGGCGATCGCTGGACTTACCAAGTGCCGCCCTGTCATCCTGCTGTATCGCATCCAGGAACAAGTTGGTCACGTAGTAGAGGTGCTCCATGCCCTGCGGATCGAACTCTGTCGACGCGCGGTAGCCTTCGTCGAGCTGCGGCTCTGTGTACCTCACGCCGCCGCTGGCCGGCGCCTCGTCGGCCCGCGTCATCCCCGCGCACAGCAGCGCGGCCACGCACGCGCACGCCCGCCAGCCGAGCCGCACCGGCAGATTCCGGCCGCGTGCGGCACGCCTTTCGTCGCGGCACGCCATGCTCCCTGTTCGCTGCGCGGCGCGCGACTAGCGGCAGCTGGCCGCGGATCGCTGGCGCGGGGCCGTGCCGGCCGCCCGCAGCGCTATCGCCGTAGTGCGCCAGCTGACGGCCGCCACCAGCGCCCCGCTCGGCGAGCACGGGAACTAATGGCGCGGATAACGGCGCGTCAACAAAGGGAGGACCGCAAAACGTTGGGGAGACGAGGCAAGGCTGGTTGCACGAATGTCGGAACGGGGAGGGAAGGAAGAGAGAGCGAGAGAGAGATGCATCCTGCAGGTTTGGAAGAGAGCGTGTGCTGTATAGGTGCTCCTGGTGAGGGTAAGCAAACCAAAAAGGTGCTGGTATGGCAAATTTCACTTTTCAGCATGCATGAGATGTGCAAGTGCACCAACTGAGGTCCACAGAACAGGTGCGTTTATAATAAACTGATTCAAACTGACGGGTGTCCACAAGCGATTTCTATGGCTGCGCATCATGACTTTAAGAAACATGCAATAAAGCTAGATTATATGTATGCGTGTGTGTGTGTGTGTGTGTGTGTGTTGGATGACTACAATAGAAGTGCACATAATCCGAGCCAAATTTCGTACCAGTCCGCTCATGGCGACTTCCAAGACTCTGCCCCTCCTCTCATTCAATTTCAGAAATCGATGTCCATGGTTAGTCAGATGCTAATGAACAGGGGGTAAGCCATTGGAATGGTGGGAAGAGTGCATTAAAACTGATTTTCAGCGCAGGAAAAGTGATAAGGAATAGAAGAACAAATTGCGGACCAATAGTTCTCTGGGAGTTCCGGCATATTTCTTCGGAAACGCCAAATGTTGATATGGGATTGTGTATGTACTTTTGCATACTAAAGACCTCCTTCGGTGTCATTCTGTGTTCCTCGGGCGATAGGCATCAGCTATCAGGTACATGCATGTCTCGCTATATTTTTGGGCATATATATATATATATATATATATATATATATATATATCACTTCATGAAATCGTGGTCAGAAACAAGATTGGTAGGTCGCTGAAAGACTAGCATTGCAAACCAAAGGTACAGTCGTAGGCACAAGGTCATAGCAAGGTCTCCAGCATTCGCGAGAGGCCATACATACATTGCAAATATATTGTCCATATTCTCGCAAGCCTACCCTTTCATGAGCCCTGCTTTTCTGCGAGATCTGTACACTAAGCACAGCTCAAATACCACCCATAAGGCACACTCGTGTAGCGAAATTGCTCACTACCAAGCGTGTAAAATGCGGATTGTTGCTCCGTGTTTCCGCAACGAAATATCCGCAGACTTACACCGGCCGGCCATTGATGGCGAAGGTAACTCGGAGCGTACAGCTTTGGGTCGATCAGTATTCACTCCAATGCACGAGGGTATTCTGTAAATCCGCTATTACGTCGGTTGGAAATAGTTCTTGCAGCCAGACCAGTTGTGCTTAAACACGGTATATGTCCAGGATGAATTTGAACCATTTTTGTTGAAACGGCAAGGGTAGACTGTGGGCTGTTTGATTTTCTGAGCATGTCTGCTGGTATAATGATAGTATTATTGTGAGTCACGTTAAGCTCTCTGTCGGTTCATGTCCGGTCAAGACTGCAACCAACACGTGCAGCTCAGTCCTTGCTTGGGCTTATTATAGCTTTGAATGAAAACATCGCCGCATGCGCTTCTTTCGGGGCAATTTTGGCATGGCTGTTTTTCAGACTTCAACGAAAACGTTCAATCTAGATGCGTACTTGCACATCTAAATTTCGACCCATAAATTCACATTCCTTCTTTTGCTAAGATGAGCTTGTTTAAACCGTTTGTAGCGATTCAACAGCGTTACGCCTGTGTTTTCACTCTGTCCTATGAGGATGGCACGCACAGGCTCTCGGTGGCGTGGAGGACGGGCATTTGTACGCAGTACTTATTTCCGAACACAGGTCCTTGATGGTAGACTTGATACAACTTGATGTAAAAAATGTGTGCTTGCAAGGGGAGTTTTGATGTGACTTCCATCGAGTGCGCTTTGCTATTTTTCCTCACGGAAACGGAATGTTAACACTGCTTAATTAGAATAAAGCATATCACATAAATAGCCAATGAAGTGTTTTGACGACTGGCATTTCACAGCTTGCACTGCTAAGGCTGTGATTAGACAGAAGAAAACTGTTGTGGATGCATTGCGGATGCTCCCACCTGAAATGTATTGCATTCGAAGCGGGATATCCCACGATGCACTCACGCACGCTCAAATCAACTATTTCGAGCATCATCGACAAATTTCTGGCAAATGCTCCGAGATAAATTTTCGTATACGTCTCTCAATCACATCCTCTCATTTCCTTTGAAGCATGCAATATTTTCTTTAAACGTAAAGCTCTGGCGCACAGGCTGGCGGAAATTAAGCAGTTGCATTATGTTTGGGGACGAAATGCATGGAAGCTTGGGTCTTCTTCGGTACTATTACTTTACAGTGGCACTTATTCTGACATTAAGTCACGGATGCGTGGGAGATCTTACCAAAAGTAAGTGTACCTTTTTTAATGATCTTAGTCAAGCAACGTATATTTTCCGCTTGAACAATGTAGAACGAGGGTTTTCTCCGCTGATGATTGACTTCAATATGCCCTGTCACGGAACGCATTGGTCACAAACACTGAAACAAAAAACCTGTTGGTCTTTGTGGTTTACTGTGCAGCTCTTTTGTTAACGGATTGTTGGTATTGGCTCTAGCATTCATAAATATTCATTCTAGGCAGCCTTGTGACCAGGTTGAAAATTTGTCACCTCATAGGATTGCTTCAGATCTGAATCCCCCGCGTACTATCCGTGAAAAGCTGTGATGGCCTGACCGTGGGCTTGCAATCGTGCGTCGGCTTTTCCTGGCCCGATGCAACCCACACCTCAGCTGTTTAATGCTATTTTTCGTAGACTACAGCTGTAAACTGTGGAGCAAAATCAGTGAGCCGTGCACTCTCATCTCCGATTCTGAAACCAAGCGTAATAAGCGATCGTGCGAAATCCACACCCACAAACACATCAACAATCTCACAAATTTTAATGGGGCAGGTGCCTAACACTTTTCCACCGGGACACCATCTTACTGCGCCACCTTCCCTGCTTTACCACCGGCAGACGGAAAGACGGTGGACTCGGTCCAGCTGTCTCCCGACCCGGCCCGACCTGACATCATCGACAAGCACGTGGTGGTGGCCGACCAGGGCGTGGATGAGAAAGCGGCCGGAGCCGGCCACTGCCGTCAGCATGGGGTTGTGTACCGCCACGGACAGTTGCTCCGGACCACCCTTCCCTGTTATAAGGTCAGTGGGTCAACGTCCTCAGCGTGGGGGCGTGAATCAACACAAGCGGCCCCAGTGTACCTGCCGCCTCTGATGTAAGATCAGTGGAGGGCGGTCGCTGTCACCAGCTAAGAATCGCGTGCCGAAACAGTCATTTGCTGTGCCCCTCGTCTGCTATATCTCAGTACGATCAGCGGAATGTCACTGTTTCCAACAAGTGGTCGTGTAACGACATAGACATCTGATACTCACCTGCTTTTCGTGCAATAATGTTAGTGAGAGGTCATCATCTCAAAGTGGGCAGTGTGCTGACGCAACCAGCTGTTGTGTGCTTCCCCCTGGTATAAGGTCAGAGAGGTCACCATCCCAGCGCTTTGCCTTGCATCGGAATAGTCCGCTGCTGGATGCCTCTTTCCTGCTGTAAGATCAGTAGGGTCATGGCCTCCATGGCGTAGTTCTCCAACGACTTGGACGGCAGCCGAATGACTTCAACGTAATTATCTAAATCAGGGGTGCAGGCTGCGGGTATCGGGCGCTGGATCCTGAGATGCGGGTCTGACTCTCCTACACCAGCTTTTCCACTGGCCTTGTCACAACGGCCGATAGGGGTGACTGTTTTACCGCGTACTACCGCGGCTGCGTTCATGGACAGATTACTGGGCGGATGGTCTCGGACCACACCTGGTGTCCTCCTGACCCGCCGTGTTGCGGTAAAAGGTGTTCAACGATAACCCCGATACCAAATCTTCCTGTCGTGCTGACCCTGATGCGCCGTGTGGGCCTCAGGTGCTGTGCAGCGGCGGTGAGCTCATCACCTTCCTGTCCTGCTAACACTGGTGCGCTGTGTCGGCCTCAGGTGTTGTGCAGTGGCGGCAAGCTCGTCACCTTCTTGTCCTGCTGACACTGGTGCTGTGTCGGATTCAGGTGATGTGCAGCGGCGGCGAGCTCATCACCTTCCTGTCCTGCTAACACTGGTGCGCTGTGTCGGCCTCAGGTGTTGTGCAGCGGCGGCGAGCTCGTCACCTTCCTGTCCCGCTGACACTGGTGCTGTGTCGGCTTCAGGTGATGTGCAGCGGCGGCGAGCTCAGTTGGGTGCCTGCGCGCGCCTGCTGTCCATCCGACGGCGGTCTGCAGCCTGAACAAACTCGCCAGCCGACCGAGGATGTGTGCCTGCTGCGCGAGTGCACCGGCGGCCGCTGGAAGCTACGCCCCGACTACGACCTGTGCTGCAAGCACGAGCACGCCTGGTACCCAGTCGGCTCGACGCGTCCCATGCAAGGCGGCCCTTGCACGTACCACCTGTGCCACGCCGGCCGCTGGGAGCCGCACTACAACACCACCTGCTGCTTCGACGAGGTCGGCTGGCACACTCCCGGGACGGTGCTCTTCACGGCCGATCCGTGCCGCTCCAAGACCTGCCGCGCCGCCCACTGGACGGAGCGCGACACGTGCTGCCGCGAGCCCATCACCGGCCGCCGCGTGGCCGCCGGCGACATCCGCCGCGTGGACGCCTGCACATACCAGCTCTGCCACGAGAACACGTGGCACCGGCGCACAGCGTTCAGTTGCTGCGAGCGCAAAGGCCACCAGTACGAGCACGGGGCCGTGGCGAACCTCGGCTCCACCTGCCGCCGCGACCGCTGCGTGGACGGCTCGTGGCACGTGGTGCGCCGCGAGAGGCTGGGGCGCGGCCCGTGCCGCAGCGGGTGGCGACGGCTGGGGCATCGCTGCGTGGCGCGCCTGCGCGCAGCAAAGTGGCATGACGGTCGGAAGAGGTGCCGCACCGTCGGTGGCTACCTGCTGACGGTGACGACGAAGGAAGGCTGGCGGAACCTGGCTAAGTCTGGGGGGAACGTCACCATATGGCTCGGTGAGTTTGTTAGGTGTTCGAACCAGCGCTGGCGACGCTGGAAAACGTCCCTCGTTTTTGGAGCTAGTATGGTGTTTTAGTGCTGTGTGTTGCGGTTGCAACAAGGTTGCTTCACGGCCCCTGGCAACAAATATGGCCACTATAGTCACCGACAAGTCATACAAGAATGCGTGACGACGCCCCTCCCCCCCCCCCCCTTTCTCCCATCCACCGTGCTCTTTTTTGTATCAAGCAAGAAGCTGTGTGAGACGAACAACATTGAAGAGAACCATCGTGCTGTGTAATACGCATAAAGCTGCGTCCGTGGGATTACAAGAAGCCAGATTGTCGGCTATTTATTTTTAGCTATATTTCAACACCATGCTGAGCGACTCTCATCGATAATTTTCATCGCTGATCAGGCTCAGCTCAGTCTCGAATAACTTCTAAGAGAGTCTACTGGCGCAGTCTAGGCCTAATCATATGCTCTTTAACATGACCTGACCCGTTGCCCAGTGACTCGGTCTGGTCCCTTGTGACCTGACCCGCTCCTCTATCATCTGACTCGTTGTCTTGTGACCTGACCTGCTCCCCTGTGGCAAAACCTTATGCCGAGTGGCCTGGCCTGTCCCCTTGTGACCTGACCCGCTCTCGTATCATCTGACTCGCTGCCCTGTGATCTGACCTGCTCCCCTGTGGCATAACCTTTTGCCGAGTGACCTGGCCTGGTCCTTTACGACCTGACCTGCTCTCTCGGGAACTGACCCGCTGCCCTCTGCGTCCCCAGGATTGCGGGGTCACGAGCTGGTCGAGGGGGTGACCGAGTGGCGCTGGATGGACGGCACACCGCGTTCGGTGCCTATCATGTGGGCTGCCCGCGAGCCGCGGATCCTGCCCGGTCGCGTGTGCGCCTACGTCGTGGCCGGCCGCGTCCACAGCGCCTCCTGCGATGAGAAGCACGAGATCATCTGCGAGTCCACGCGCTGTGAACACTAGGTGGCGCTGGTGGTGTGTGAGTTTTGAAATAGGTAACGCTAGCGCCCCTATGGTCGAGCATTTTTCAACGAAAATTTATTTGCATTTTGTAGCCACAAGTTGCCGTTCTTTGATTGTGGTCTGTGTCAGCAGATCTTCAATATGAGCCGCTCTTGAGCGGAACAAACAAACAAACGGCCGCACGCTTCTCGAAAAAAGTGACCGACATCAGCTAGTTTGATTACAGAACGTCCGCCCAAATACATCCCGTTGCCAATACAATAAGGCGTTTTATGCTTGTGAAACAAATAAAACTCCCAGAATTCCATTGACGCACCTGTCCTTGCGTTGCGAGTACGAGATTTGGTCTGTTTTCCATTCTTCCCACACTGCAGGAATTGAAGTCATGGGGCCTTGGAGTTAGAACATGGGCCTGAGTCTATTCAAATTATCATGCACGCGGGCCCATGTCATGCACCCGTTCGAGCCGGAATCCCACTTTGAAGCCAACAGATTCTTACGGGATGGCACGGGATTAAGGTACTCAATGATGACTGCTATCCAGGAGAACGATAATGAGGCGCAAATATCGTAATAGGATGTAATGTGACAGACCCAGCCTACCAAATGAGCGTTACGTGACATTACGTCATAGAAATCAGGAAGATGCTCAAGCAAAGGTGATATAACACTCGTCTTAATTAGCTTCAGCTGACCTAGTCCATCCGAGCAAATCCGCCCCAATCCAGCAGAACCCAACCTAGCAAATCTAACCCTACCTCGCTAACCAAGACCTAACCTAATAAATCACTATTTATCACATGACGGCGCAATGTCAATACATGACGAACAATTATAATTCGTGTTTGCATTACGCAGGGGTTATGCCAGCGGGCGACGTATATGCCATTACGAAGCAGGTATTGTTCTGTTTAGGCCGTTTTCCCAGGTTGAGCCTGATTCATTTTGGTATGAGCCTGAGCATGAGTTTGGTGCTCAGTATTCAGCACCTGTGACCCGTCTGTCTGCTAGCCTGCTTTGGTTTCACGAGTCTGCTTTGCCTTTATTTGGGTTTGAATCCGAGTTCACGTTTGTGTCTACCTTTTTATTACTGTTGAATCGGAGTCTGTGGCCTCACTTATTGATAAATAGAGCCCAGTCACATCATTCCCAGAATCACGGTCGTGAGTCTGGAAAATGTGACCAATTCTGCCAAACCTAGACCACATCCGGGCCACATCCGGACCACATCCGGGCCCCATCCGGACGTTACGTAATTGAGGCAAAACGTGTGAAAACGTTAAGCCTTCTAATCTGGGCCACAAAAGGTTCAAATTAGACTAGCTTGACCAAGTCATTTTGCGGGGCATTCGCTACCCGCCGGGAACGTTGGAATGTTCTGAGCGTCGAGTAAACTGGCGATATCAAATTAAGCGTTAGGGATAGGTACTTGCCATCTTTACGACTGTGAACCATCTGGAAATCCACGCCCCAGACCGGTGTCATCCCAGCCTGCCGCGGACCCCTGAACTCCGGCCGCCCGTCTGCTGGGCCCTGGCTCCGCCCGGCTGCGGCCGCTGCCACCGCCACCCCCTCAGGTAAGCGGCCACCCCAATCAGCGGCGGACAGGTGCGAGCGCAGCGCCATCTGCCCGAGCGGCGGCGAACTGCGCAGGCCGGCCGGCAGTTCGGCCGTGCGCTGCTGACGGGTGGTGCGCGTGTTGCCGTGCGCGGTGTGTGGTCGCGACTTGGAGTCTGGATTGGGCGAGAGGTGCCCGATGTGACCGGAGAACGAGCGACTGGAGGGTGGGGGTCTACCAGCAGCGAAAGGCCGCGGTTTTCACATCGCGATGGCAACGATGGGCCTGTCCAAGGGCTTTATACTGGACAAGTACTTCAGTGAGCTACAAAAATTCTGGGACACTGAACGGAAACTGCAAGGTGAGCATTCTACGTCTTGGACTGAGGGCTACGGTCCGCAGCAGCTTCAGGGTGTCATAATTCCAGAGTTTTATTTGATATTTTTTTTCCATTCCCTTTGATATGCCTGCGCATAGAGCTCCCGCAGCGACCAGAGGTGACTCAAGCTTCATGCAAATGTCCACTCCATTTTCAACAAAGCACCACGTAACAGCGTCTATGTGCTAATTGCCAGCAGTTCTCAGTCATCAGTGGTTTGGAGTAGCGTTTACTGCCGTTTCCCTGAACTTAGGCCTGTCGTCATGGGGGCAGTGACGCATCAACATCCTGAGAGGTCACGGGCCTGCCGTTGACCTCAATACGACCTTGGTCAGATTCTTACCATGTACCGTCCCTTGTGTCCCTATCGAAAGCTATGCATCTGTTTAGCGTTCCCATCTCCCAATACCTTTAAGAGCGTCCCGAGGAGTGTGGGAGTGTTAGGGTATGCGTGAGAGTGCAAGAGTGGGAGTTTAAGAGTAAGAGTGTAAGCGTTGAAGTGTTCTGAATGCTTGTAAGGCTCAGTTTCGATTAAGAGTACAAAACAGGGTTTGTTATTTACCTACGTAGAAAACGCTGAGGTACGTACCGTCCAAGCCCAACGACCAATCGTCTTCTGTACTCCTATGCAATTTAATTTATTTAGTCACTTCCGTTCATTATTTCCTCTATTATGACTACAGGGAGTCAGTTGCGTGCTGCCGTTGTCACGGCACGGCTTCCCCGGTACCAAGTCGACCCAATCTGGCCAGTTTCTAGCCGACCTTTCCACTTCGGTCAAAGCAAACAATGCGTACTTTCCGGGCCCCGCAGGCTCCCAGAGCTGCTGAACTGCAGTCCGGCGTCCATCCAGTGGAACAAAACGACGACACAAACAATAGTCTTTCAAGGTTCAAATTGTCGGGCAAGGGACGCTCACGTTACACTTCAAACGCAAAATGCGCGTACAAAGCTCCACAACTGCCTCACCACCATACAGTGAGGCTCACTAACGCAGGGTCGTAACGGCACGATCCTTCTTACTTGGGTCCGCCGTGATGTCTTCCCATTTACACCCTTGACGGCAGACATTCAAAAGGAACACTATTCGATCCAGTAAGCCCAGCTTCCAGGGCGCAGTGGACGAGAACCACCACCACCCGCATACAGACTGCTGAGATGGTGAGATGGTGAGACCGGCCCCACGCATGGCTTACGCCAATGTAGGCTAGCTAGGCTGCATGAGTCATCCAGTCAAGGAAGTCAGAAGCATGTGGCCGAGGCCTCAGTTAGACAGACACCGCCTGGAGTGTACTGCCAACGACCACCTCGGGAGAACGGGAGGGGGGGGGGGGGGGGGAGGGAGATGCAAGTTACCCGCAGCTATCCCAGGATCTACAAAAGCAATAGCAACAACTGAAAAGTTTTGTTTAACTCTGATCAATATCACCCAGGTATTGTTAAGTTGGTATGCTTCACGTGACTGATGACGTCACTGGTCGTGCAATGTGCCTTAGGATCAACGATGTTTTGAAAGACTTCAAGGTCCTCCGTGCCCGTAATGACGAACGTAGAAGTTTTTAACTGGAAGCAAACAAAAAAGCTCAGTATTACGTACTAGAGCTGAATAATAATGTCAACAAGGGTAAATGTCAAGAGAAGGTCGGATCAAATTAGGTCAGGTTACAGTCTAGTCAGTCCATTACATGCTACTCTTCTGGTCCTATGTTGCGTGTGGACGGCAGCGGTCAATTATAGCGGTTAATGAAGGTCCCAGCTGGCAGTTAGGTGAAGTGACTATATTGATTTATTTATCGTAAATGGACGGCACAGAGCCATTCAGTTATTCGCTTGGAAGTTGAATAACGTGGCCTGTGTTGGTGGTACCATATTACTTTGTAAGATGGGACTGACCCCGTCTGACATGAAGTCAATCCCGTCGATACATCGCAGCAAAATCATTAAAGACAGGGTTGAACACTGCGCTTTGATAACAGGCAACGATGCGTGTTTGCTTGCGATGGTTTACGTCCGAGACTTGCCTCAACACGTAAGTTTGTTTTGAAAATGCAGCGAATAATTCACCTGACAGATACTGAAAATGTGCTGGATATAAATGGAGCCGTTCGAAGTTATTTCAGACCCCGGAAGAGGGCTAACGTGGTCCACAGAAGGTGGTCATCATTGGTCACGGTGTGGCTGGGGGTGACTGATGTTACTTCTCCGATAATCCTATGCGTATGGTTAAACATGACCTGTGTATGGAGTTATCTGTCAGTTTGTTGGACGTTTTGTGATATCCGGTAGATAAGCATGCATTACACTGCATATGAGCGGGGGGTACAACTGACGTGGCTACCGGGCTTTACCTTATTTAACTATAAGATAATAAGAATTAGAACAAATGTTTTATCTCTCTCTCTCTCTCTCTCTCTCTCTCTCTCTCTCATCTCTCTCCTCTCTCTCTCTCTCTCTATCTCCTCTCTCTCTCTCTCTCTCCTCTCTCTCTCTCTCTCTCTCTCTCTCTCTCTCTCTCTCTCTCTCTCTCTCTCTCTCTCTCTCTCTCTCTCTCTCTCTCTCTCTCTCTCTCTCTCTCTCTCTCTCCTCTCTCTCTCTCTCTCTCTACTCTCTCTCTCTCTCTCTCTCTCTCCTCTCTCTCTCTCTCTCTCTTCTCTCTCTCTCTCTCTCTCTCTCTCTCTCTCCTCTCCTCTCTCTCTCTCTCTCTCTCTCTCTCTCTCTCTCTCTCTCTCTCTCTCTCTCTCTCTCTCTCTCTCTCTCTCTCTCTCTCTCTCTCTCTCTCTCTCTCTCTCTCTCTCTCTCTCTCTCTCTCTCTCTCTCTCTCTCTCTCTCCTCTCTCTCTCTCTCTCTCTCTCTCTCTCTCCTCTCTCTCTCTCTCTCTCTCTCTCTCTCTCTCTCTCTCTCTCTCTCTCTCTCTCTCTCTCTCTCTCTCTCTCTCTCTCTCTCTCTCTCTCTCTCTCTCTCTCTCTCTCTCTCTCCTCTCTCCTCTCTCTCTCTCTCTCTCTCTCTCTCTCTCTCTCTCCTTGCCAACACTTCAGAGTCCTCAAATCCCTTTATTTAGGCCCTACTCACAAAGCCTTACTTCACCTGACGTGGCATGACACCAGTAAGCACAGGCCATGGATACCAATTTTTCGTTCACGAGGTGCTGGAGCTGCAGCTCATCGTCTGCTTCCGCACCATCGTTCAGCGCCTTCGGCACCTTAATCCACCGCCACCGTCGCTAAGATAGATTCGCGCGGTAAAAACACCCTAGCCCTGCGTGGGAAAATATTCCACAGCGCCTGAAAGGTTTACAAGCTTGGCTGCCCACGACATTTAAGCGTGCTTGTTTTGTTTTTGTTGCATCAGGTATTCCTCTGTCTTATGACGAGCCAGCCCCCATCAGCACATCATTGTCATGACTTGGAGAACATTCCGGTAAATCTTGAAACGTCTGCGACGTCGTGAACATGCAAAACGGCATGCAAAACGTTACATGCCATCAGAGATGTTGTATTAACGCGCACCCCTATTGGTCAGTGAAGGCCCAGCCCATCGCCTCGCCCATGCGTCGAGGTTCAAAAGGGTACCGCCAGGTATCCATGCTGACGATACTGACCCTGCTGACCTAGATGATAACTCCGTATCACTGTGATGTGCGAGACATTGCACACTGCCTCAGGCATTTGCAAGCATAGCGAACAGTATTACAATCGGGTTAGTGACGATTTATGTAGTGGGCCATTAACTGATGAAATCAGATATTTTTGGTCGCATTGGTTAGTGCTGTTGCACTTATAGTGCTACAGTTTGCAGTTCCTTTGGTGAAATGGCATCGTTGAAAGTTCTGTTGGCACGTACTTAATAGTTGTAATTAAGCAAACGGCAAACTGCGACCTATAAATTTTTAGTTTCTTTAATTGTTATAAGCCTTACCAACCACAGGACATTTCGGTGCAATTCTCGGACGGCTGACGAGTCATTCGTGAAACTCCTTGGTAGTACCGTTCAATCCTGAATCATCACTGGCTTACTAGGCTCAGCTGTGCTGCAAAATTATTTCCCAAGAAACACAAGACGGCTAGATCAGACTACAAGCCAGATTTATTGACCGCTCTACAGCATTGATTAATTTTGTCTCAGCAGCTGGTTCACGCGGCGTTACTGGCATTACCACACAGCTTTTAACACTATGCGAGCAGGGGAATATGACCAGATCTGACAACTTATGACATGTAACAATCTATGAAGAGAAAAACTGTGCTCATAAAAAGACAAAGCTCCAGCTGTTCTCGTATATCTGATTTTAGTCTAGCGCGTTGCGTACTCCCCTCGGAGGCGCATTCTCAGTCGCATCGGCACTGCTTTCTCACGATAACGGCGCCACCAGATTACTGAGAACACTCTTGCTGGCCACCACTACACGATACGGATGATGCAGTGATGACACGTGCGATCAATAACCACTTGGCTGTCGACGGATCTTGCTCTTTAGCGGTTTTTTATGCTTCAGAAAAGCCTCGGTAGTGAAATGGAAGTGAATGATGCCGGAGTGAAATGAACTGGAAAATGTCGCGGTGGCATCTGTCTCTTTGTCGTTAATGACCAACGCAAGGAACTGCGATGATGAGGAAGTATGGGCTAAAATCTTGAATGAGTTCTAGGCACTCAACCTCAAACTAATGGATCACTCTTGTGTTCCCGGAGAGTCTGCGCACATGGTGCACTTTCGGCGTAGGTGGTTAAGTAATTATAATTTCTCAAGCCGTGCCCCATGCCCATGGCCGCCCAAACCCCCTGTCATTTGGGCTTGTTCGTCCACTTCAGAGAGCACAGACCATTAGCGTGTTATCAGCCAATCTTAATGGTCCCGGCGGTCCGCCTCTGATTCTGTGGAGCTGTCCCGACGGGCTTCGCTTAGGACGAGAGGTTTCTTTGTAATGCAGCCACGCGTGCCAGTGGAAAGTCGTCACTTCCAAAAGCCGACCGGTTTAGAAAGAAAC